TGCATCGCGATTGCGCAATCGCTTGTCCATCGCGATGCAATCGCTCTAGGCAGAGGTAACGGTGCTAACTTAGTTGGGGGGGGGGGCACGCGGCGGCGCGGCAGTCTGCTCGCCTGGCATGTTCGGAAATCCGTGGGCCAGGGGGAGTGTAGGCAGTCTAGGGGGTGGGGGGTGGGGGCAGTCACTTGACATGCGTGAAAAGCTGGAATGTTCGAGAGAGCCCAGGTGAGCAGACTGCCGCGCCGCCGCGTGGCCCCCTCCAACTAAGTTAGCGCCGAAGTAACTTATTGAACATCAATTAGAAGTAAAATAAGGAACTGTAAAGCATACATTGATAGAGGGGACATGAAGCTTGTCCAACCAAATGCTTCAATCCATGAGCGTGGGATTTTCAATTTTTATTATTATCAAACATGTCATAAGGATGTGAGGAGTCACCATCAACAATAAATCAAATACGAATACATTCAATTATCTAAATTTTTTTGTTCCATTTCCAATCTGGAATATTTTTAACTAGCAAGTTTTGTCTACATCACCGTCCACCACGAGAAATCTTCATAAGAAAATAAATGTACATAGATTAATGTAATGGAGACTTAGCTAACAACAGAGTAATTTCTACAACACAACAAAACACATGAGTCTCAGTAAGTGGAGAGCTTCAAGAATTAAAAACGATGCTTCAGCATCAGCAAATTATATCGGTAAATAACGCAGCTTCTAAATGAGATTGAATAAATAAAAAGACCTTGCGTGAACATAAAACTAAAGTAATCGATCAAATGTGTGATGATAAATAATGAGCACAAAAAAAAACAGAGGAGAGGGACAACAACCTTTAAAAGTCTACGACTGCGTTCTGAAAAAAATATAAGCATAACAATACAAGACCCGAAAGACTTCCGTAGATTTCAGGTGATGCCTCAATATACTCCCATTACATAAACGAATAGATGGGAAACAATGTTCAGATCACACACTCTCTCAAATGAGGATAT